CGACTCTACACGTGGCTACATTTCTGATGAAAGTACGTGTCATAGAGCAACTAAGTCTCAAGTATATAGAACAACAATCACATTACTGTTAGGAAATAGGAAAGATTGAGGTTTGGGCATTCAGAAAGAATGGAGCAGAGTAGGATGATCATGAGAGAGTGGATAATTCCAGGATGGAAGAAAGGAGGGTAGGGATCATCCCAGGAAGATTAGGAGGAGGAAGTAAGGAAAGTTTTGAGTACTAAGGGCTTGAGCATCCAGCAGGTTAGTGTGAACATATTAGTTCAAGGTGAGTGAAAACCGGTGGTTTCTATGGCTTAAGATGCAGTTGAATTTGAGCAAGCTAGTATATATGTAAGGATTCATGGGAAACTGGTTAACTAGACATTACTCTTCAAACTGCCACATCCCCACCCATCTTTCACAAACTGTACAACATCCAGACTAACCTATCATACACCTTTGAACCTCCAAAATGAAAGTCATCCTCCTCATCTTCCAAGTCTTGATCATCAGTTCTTCTGACTGCTTTCACTGAAAGATAAAAAAATTTATTTCTCAGTAGAGTACTGAACAAAAATTGTGGTATATGTACAAAATATTTTAACCCTTATCCTGTTGCAACCCCTGACATTAAAAGTTTCATTCTTCTAAAATGGTAGAAAATCTTTTTCTGAAGGTAAAGGCACTAAAACTGGGAAACAATAGAAAACTTACGAAATTAGAAAAGCACAAAGTTGGCAGTCTGTTCGCAATATACAGTAGGGCCCCACTTTACAGCATTTCACCTTACAGTATTCCATTAACACAGCAATTTCAAATTATGATCAAAACTTGCCATACAGTGAGCACTCTTTCTAATACGGTGCCCCCCACCCAGTTTGTTTACATTCTCCGTGAGTACATCTCTCTATTTCGTCTGGAAATTTTCCAAAATTTCAAGTTTTTAAAGTTACTGCATATTTTATATGTACTCTGATAATTATACTTATGTGTACCTGTACCTAAATGTACTTACACACTGTGTTGGCATGCAGGTACACATTAAAAATCACTAAGTGTGTCTCTACTCCTGAGCCATATAATAATCTCCTGGGTGGATTAAATGTTATATATGAGTGAGGTGAAAGTGTTGAATGATGACATAAGTATTTTTCTTTTTGGGGATTTTTTTCTTTTTGGGTCACCCTGCCTCGGTGGGAGACACCTGACTTGTTGAGGAAAAAAAAAATAGACATTTCCATTAAACCATCTATGATATTTTTTTCAAATTATGTAATAAACATGCTATGTAACAAACATTATACATACACCCACAGTATAAAAATTGACATAAATATGAGATTTGTTTACCAAGCGGTTTGTAGGAGTGTCAGAAGAATTACGTTTTCTCAAGTCAAACACAGTGACTTAATAGTAGAAAAATATTCCTTTTGTATGCCTTCACTCTATCTATAGCTATTCATGACCCTTGTGGGTTTAGCACTTCCTTTTTATTTTGATTATAATAACAGTATCATCATTCACTCTAAAAATAGTGTGTTGCATGAGAATGGGAGTGTTGCTGTTTATTTATTCTGTACTAACTTGTCAGAGCATCATTCCTTCTAAAAATGATGTTACATGAGAATGGAAGTGTTGGTCTTTATTTACTCTACTGTACCACTGTGGAGACAACTTGTACACAAGTTGCTTGTATGAACGTGTATGAACCATAACCAGACACTTCGTCCGTTTGTTTACATAGTACTCTGCGTGGGTGGGGTGGCCAGGCGGGCTAACTTACCTCCCACACCTGACTTTCTACAAATAAATACTTTTCACCTCTCACCCTACATCAAGACCATTAAAACTACAAATATTTTAAGGTAAGAAATGAGTGTACTGTATATGCATTTTATCAATCTAGGGCACTTTAAGCGTTGTAGTATATTATGTGTGGGTGGAGTGGCCCGGAGGGCTACCATGCCTACCCACACCTAACTTCTTACAATAAATACTACTTACCTTTTGCCCTATATTGCGACTACAAATATTTTGAGGTAAATAATGAATGCATTGTGTGTGCAATTTTACTTTTTAATTTTTTAATGCCTAGTTCTATTGTTAACTTTATATATGTTAGTGTAAACTTGTTATCTGGCATTTATATGCATTTATAAGAGAAACAAATGGCGTTCTGCTTTCTGGCAATGTCTGCATTGCGGCGGTACCCTGGACCCTAACTTGCCATATAAGTGGGGCCCTACTGTATGCACCAGCAATTTTGCCCAATCTGAGACCTATTTTAAGTTAATTTCTTTGCTCAAAATGTCTCAATTCCTAACTAGTATTGTAGACAAGCCAGGATATCCGTCTGCCAGTGATTAGTAAAAAGAAACTGCAATATTTACATATAGACTTCCCATAAATGACAAATTAGTATTTGCTATTTTTACACTTAGGTTAACACTAAAATTCAAATTTAAAGTCAAATATACACACCTGGAGGTATTCCAGCCTTCTAGGCTTATTTTTATGTTCCTTTATCATGTCGAGGCTCTTTTTATAACCCCGTTGTTCTAAAGGTACTTAAAATGGGGCAAGGGGCAGTTTTCCTGGCATTTTATAATGAAAGAGAACGTTTTGTCCATTTGGACTTATCCGCTTGCTGGGATCGAGTGTGTGAGTAAAAAAGAAGAAATCTTTCTAATAATCACTAAACCTGCTTATTAGTCGAATGTCTTACAACAAATAAATGTCAATTGTTATAGCTAATTTATAAAAAATTCCAATAAGAAGCTTATGCATATTCCAGTGTGCATTTTCTTGCCATTATATGGCCATGCCAATATTTGAACCTTGCTTTACATAGTATGTAATAAGACAATGTGCAGTTTATGGCATTTTATCGAGAAGACGTTTTGTCCACCAAGGACTTTATCAATTCTCATAGAGTGAAAATTGTGAGGCTCAATAAAAGTCCCTGGTGGAAGAAACATCTTTGTAATAAAATGCCATGAACTGCATATGTATTATGTCTTATCAACAAATATTTCAATCTGTTTAGATCTATATAAAATATTGCCCCAGTAGAAGCTTATTCTACAAAGTGTGTTTCTTCTTGCCTATTATTGGCAGCATGCCAAATATTTGAACCTTGCTTTCACACTAGGTGAAACAACCCTGTATCAATTGAAAGCACAAAATAATTAGCAATACAAAAATCCCCTAAAACTTCACCATGGTTTAAATAGATACCTTGATAACTATAAATACTCTGTTAAGACTGAAATGACCAAAGCAGCTGGCAAACTACTGAAATGTCATGATCAGCATTCATCTTAAGATGAAGAGAGAGAGCCATTATCAACTATAAATAAGTGACCATGTATAATGTGTATATGAAAATCGTGAGAAGAGAGAACAGTAGTTGAAATTGAATACATGACAAAGAATATAAAGGGTAAAAAAACAATATGGAGTAAATAAAGAATGCTTGAACTGGAAGGTCTAGGGTTTTAAAAAGCTTGGTCAACAAGAGGATAATGAAAGATGATGATTTGACTGTCATATGACTGGACTTGATGGTAACAGGCATTCAGAAATAAGAATGAACATGTAAATGAAGATTTAGAACTCACAATACAATGACTAGAAAAATTCAAGTAATCCACAAAATGAAAATGAAGCTTCAGACACTTCATCTGCTCAGGGCCATAACTGTCACAAATGAGAATGAAAAGCCTAGGTAGTAGGTTGGTAAACAGCAACCACCAAGGGAGGTACTACCATCCTGCCAAGTGAGGGTAAAACAGAAACCTGTAATTGTTGTACATGATAGTAAGATAGCTGGTTCTCCATGGGAAAGTGGAACAAAATTCTTCCTCTGTAAGACATGCATATTGTAAGAGGCAACTAAAATGCTGTGAGCTAGTAACCCCTTTTCCTGTATATATTACTATATTTAAAAGGAGAAACTTTTGTTTTTCTTTTTGGGCAACTCGGCCTCAGTGGGATATGGCCAGTTTGTTGAAGAAGAGGGATTGCTGGCGTCTTTTTTTTTGTCTCATAAACATGCAAGATTTCAGGTACATCTTCCTACTTCTACTTACACTTAGGTACACATGCACATGCACTTTTTTTTTTTTTTTGTTTGTTTGTTTTTTTAACATATCGGCCACTTTCCACCGAGGCAGAGTGGCCCAAAAAGAAACAAAAACCCAAAAAGGAAGAAAAAACTTTCATTATTCAACACTTTCACCATCACTCATACATAATCACTGTCTTTGCAGAGGCACTCAGATACGTCAGTTTAGATGTCCCTCCAAACTGCCAATATCCTAAACCCCTCCTTTAAAGTGCAGGCATTGTACTCCCATTTCCAGGACTCAAGTCTGGCTAACTGGTTTCACTGAATCCTTTCACAAAATATTACGATGCTCACACTCCAACAACTTGTTAGGTCCCAAAACCATTCATCTACATTCACTCCTATATAACATGCTCACACACACACACACATTTGCTGGAAATCCAAGCCCTTCACTCACAAAACCCTTAACCCCATCCCTCCAACCTTTTCGGGGATGACCCCTGCTCCGCCTTCCTTCCCAAAAAGATTTATGTGCTCTCCAAGTCATTTTACTTTGTCCCATTTTCTCTAAATGACCAAACCACCTCAACAGCCCTCTGACTAATACTTTTATTAACTCCACACCTCCTCCTAATTTCCACACTACAAATTCTCTGCATAATGTTTACACCACACAATGCCCTTAGACACATCTCCAGTGCCTCCAGCCACCTCCTTGCTGCAGCATTTACAACCCATGCTTCACACCCATATAAGAGTGTTGGTACCACTATACTCTCATGCATTCCCTTCTTTGCCCCCATGGATAATGTTCTTTGTCTCCACAGGTACCTCAACCCACCACTCATCTTTTTACCTTCATCAATTCTATGGTTTACCTCATCCTTCATAAACCCCTCCTCTGACAAGTCAACTCCCAAATATCTGAAAACATTCATTTCTTCCATTATCCCTACCTCCAATTTGATATCCAATTTATCTTTATCTAAACTGTTTGATACCCTCATCACCTTACTGTTATCTATATTCACTTTCAACTTCTACCTTTACACACCTTCCCAAACTCATCCACTAACCTATGCAACTTTTCTTTATAATCCTCCAAAAGCACAATATCATCAGCAAGAAGTAACCGTCACCTCCCATTTTGTATTTGATTCCACATAATTTAATCTCACCCATCTCTCCAACACCCTAGCATTTACTTCTTTTACAACCCCATCTATAAATATATTAAACCACTAAGGTGACATTACACATCCCTCTCTCCTACACACCCTAACCTGAGCTTCACTATCCTCATAAAAACTCTTTACAGCATTTATTAACTTACTAAGTAGTCCACACATTTGCAACATCTGCCACATTGCTCCTCTATCTACTTTATCATATGCCTTTTCTAAAGCCATAAATGCATTGAAATCTTCCCTACCTTATCTAAATACTGTTCATATATATA